TTATACAAATATAGTTAATATGTTTATTTAAAAAAAATTTCATTATTAAAATTATTAAGATTTTTTAAAATTAAATAATAAAATTTTGGAAAACATATTTTCATGATATCAATTTTTTTTTATAATTAATATAATGATTAAAATTCAGAATATATGATTTAAGAATCCAGTCTTTTTTTGATGTTCTTATCATGCTCGAAGAATCGTTGTTACATAAGAATTTTATCGATAAATATAATTTGCGTTAAATATTCCAAAGATAAAATGATATAATTATAATAATTATTTACATTTAATTATTACAACAAAATTATTATTCATAATTTGATATAATTATTATTAATAAGTATCATTGTGTATAGAAATTTTTTATTAAATATTAAATATTTTATTGTATATTATAGAGAATCATTTTAATTTATAATTTAATTCTTTAAACAGTTAAATTAAAAAGTAAAAATAACATTGAATAATTTAATTTAAATTAAATTTAAATTTTTATATAATTTATAATATCAAAACGATTTTAAAAGCTTATCATTCTCTATTAAATATACTGTTCTATTTAAAACATTGAACTGACCTTGAAACTTCTTTCATATCTTCATATTCCCCTTTCTCTCATAAAATTCTAACAACTTTTTTTAACCTCATATAGTATGTATTTTATTTTATTGTCAATTGAATTGTATGAATTCTTATTTTTATTATATTTTTCATAAAGTAAACTAAAATATATACATTCTATATATAATGAATAATATAAATATAACAATTATTTTTATAATTACATATATAATTATAATATATATTTAAAATATAATTTGAACATATTTTCATGAATATTTTATTAAATTTATTATTCAATTTCTTTGACATTATATTATAGATGGTTGACCATATATATAAATTATATAAGTAATAATGAAAGATAAGAAGAAACGGAAATCATATAAAGATTTTGCATTTAATTAGAATTTTATTTCAAACTTATAATAGATCATTGTATATAATTTATTATATTTGATTTTTTTTTTTGATTTCAGGTATTACAAATATTAACATTTTTATTTCATTTTTTTTTTTAATAAACAAATAACTTTGATATATAATTTAAAAGCAGATTATATGAAATTGATATGAAACAATCATAAAAAAAAAATAATAAAGAAAATAATTAATAAGAAATAATTATGGATTGTTAAATGATTAAAAAAATTCAATATTATAAACATAATTAAAAAAATATTTCAATATTATAGAAATAAAATATCTTTTATCACTTATTTTTCGAGTAGAAAAATATATTTATATTCAACAATTTATATTCAACAATAATATATATTCAACAATTTTAATTTTTATAAGTTAAAAAAATTACAAGAATTAAAAAAATTATCTATACAAAATACATATTTTATTCAATTTAAATATTCATCTTTCTCAATTATTCTTAAATTCTATGTTATTATATTTTCAAATTTAATTTTGTATTGTATTGTATTCTTTAAAGAAAATTTTCAAATTCATTGCAACTTAAAAATTCTTTTACATATGTAACATAAATTTACACACATCCTTGTTGCTCATTGTTTTTTTTTGTGTCTACGAAAAATCAATAGTCTGTTTATCCCTTAGACTTGGGAAGGAGCCAGCTGGTACAACCTGGGAGCAAATCATCTATGCTAAGAAGCTTTACGAGTCGGCCTTTCATCCCGACACCGGTGACCTGCAAAATGTCTTTGGCAGAATGTCCTTCCAAGTGCCAGGTGGAATGGCTATCACTGGTGTTATGCTTCAATTCTATAGGTAAATTGTCTCTTTGTTTATTTTTCAATATAATTTCAATATGTTTCAATATAATTATCAATTATAATTTTCAATAATTTCAAAAAATGAAATTTATTAAAAAAACTAATTAAGAAATAAAATTGATAATTATTAGAAAACAATGGCTTCAATTTAATGATAAATCTCTTTGTATATTTTTTAGCTTAAACTAGGTAGTTTTAAAAAATAATGTTTATTAAAAAAACAATTATAAAAATTAAAAAATTAAAAATGATAAATTTTTATTTTTAAATGAATGAAATGAAATTTATAAATTAATTTATTTTTATATTATAAAATGAAATATTATAAAAAATGGAAAAATTTCTATGTTTCTACGAAATTATTGATAATTTTTTAACTTTTTCATATTTTTTCATATTATACAGTAATAATCGTAATTTTTGTTTATAAAATCATATTTTGTTTATTTTTATTTTTAAATTTATGAAAAAAAAAATTTTATAATATAATTATAATATAATATATTATATCATTAATAACAATTGCAGAACGACCACAGCTGTGGTATTTTGGCAATGGGTGAACCAGTCGTTCAACGCATTAGTGAACTACACGAATAGAAATGCCAACAGTCCCACAACCGTCAATCAATTAACGGTTGCATATATCAGTGCTACCTCAGCAGCTATGATAACTGCGATAGGATGCAAGTCGTTTTGGGCAAAACGGGCAAATCCGCTTATGGCGGTATATAAATAATTTATTTTTAAAATTTAAAAATTAAAAAATATAACTATTATGAAATATATATATAATATATATAAATATATAAATAAAATAATAAAAAATATATATAATTTAACTTAATAAAATAAAAATCAATTATATAAAATAAATATTATATAAATAATATAAAATTGACTATTATTAATAAAATTTAATTTTAATTTTTTATAGCGTTATGTGCCATTCGCTGCAGTAGCTGCTGCAAACTGTGTGAACATTCCTTTAATGCGCCAGAATGAAATCACAAAAGCGATTGAAATTAGTGATGAAAACGGCAATAAATTAACAAAATCAAAAGTAAATTACATTTATTTTATTATATATAAACTGTAATTTATTTTACATCAATAATAGGAAATAAATGTTTTTTTTAGCTTGCGGCAGTTAAAGGTATCAGTCAAGTAGTCATTTCGAGAATTGTTATGTGTGCACCCGGCATGTGTAAGTAAAAATTAAATAAATGATAAATACATTATGAAATATGTATTATTTTAATGAAATATGAATGAAATATAAATTATTTTAATGAAATATAAAAAAATAATATATATAATAAAAATAATAATAATAATATAAAATAATAATAATATATATAATAAAAATGATAATAATAATAAAAAAATTTGTATGGTTTAGTAATTCTACCGCTTATTATGGAAAGACTAGAAAAATATGCTTGGATGCAAAAAATCAAACCTCTTCATGGACCCATACAAGTTTTATTAGTTGGCTGTTTGTGAGTATTTTTTTAATATTTTTATTTTTATTTAATATATAATAATAATAATAATTAACAATAATAACAATAATAATTACGAATCGAAATATAATAGTTTAAAAGATGAATGTGTATAAAAAAAAAATATATTCATTCTAATATTTCAGTCTAACATTCATGGTGCCTACAGCATGCGCATTATTCCCACAAAACTGGTAAGCTTCTATACATTTTTGCATATATTTTATTAGCATATTATTATCAATTTTATATTTGTTTTTTATAAGTAATTGATTTAATAATAGTAAATAATTGACTTAATAATAGTAAAAATAATTGATAAGTTTTAAACTTATTTATATTTCAAACAAAATATAATTTATTTATACCAAAAATCAATTTATGAATCTATGAAAATCATTTTTAATATTAAATATTCATTTACTGACGTAAGAATTAGCATAATAATAATATTTTAAATATTTTATCTAAATGAATATAGTTCATACATATATTTAATATTTTATAGCTCAATTAAATCAAGAACTTTGGAACGCTGGGAGCCCGAAAATTATGAACTTTTAAAAAAGAATTGTAAAAATAGAGAAATACCCATATACTTATATTTTAACAAGGGTTTATAATGTACGAAGATTGTAGTAATAAAAGATCATCAAAGGGTATTTTTTATAACCCTGTATAAGATAGCAAGTTAATTAATAATGGAATTGAAAAAGATTTTACATTACATTATAAATCGTCGGAATCGTAGTTTTCTGCTGGTTCAGAGGATAATAACTCGTTCCGAAAAGAACAATATGTACGACAATATTGCATTTGAAATAATTTTTATTTTATATAGCAATACAATTTATTTATAAGTTTTATTATATATATATATCATGCATTTATTGTTCATTTTTACATTTTTATCAATAATGATTATGCCTTAATATAGATAATGAAAACTATCATTAACTATTTTCTTATATACAAAACATTTCGAACGGCGATAATTTTTGTTTCCATTAAATTATACAAATACGATCAATAATTTTATTCATTTAAACAAATATATGTATATAATAATGATTTAAAATACGATATCATAATTATAAATTATATTGTTAAATTCTGCATTTTAGAACTTAAATATTTGTATTTTATTGTTTTATTGTTACTACCTTCTTAAACTGTTAAACGTTACAAAAAATGCTGCCACATATGTATATTTTAGTAATACTATAATAAACATTCTGGAAACTAAATTTAAACGTATTTTTCTTTTATTTAGTTTTTTATTTAGTCTCAATTTACAATTGATTATATAATATTACAACAAACATATAAATAAAATAACAATAGAAAATAATGCAATTTAGAACATGTATATATATTACGTAAAAAACTATATATTTGGTCGAGAATGCGTAGGTTGATTTTGTTGTGGCATATAACCGATACGTTCTTGAATTTCGCTTTGCGGTACTTTACCACCCCACGAAGGAGGATTAAATGTTGGCGGTCTTTCTGATTCTTTTTTAGCTTCAAGAGCTTTCCTCATTGCTTCATATTCTTGCAGATCATCTAATCGTAAGTCGATTCTTGTTGGACTTCGTCGTATCATTTTAACTAAGAAGTTCAATGCACCTTTTTTTCAATATAAAAGTATTTACTGCAAGCTGATGATTCACTGGAATATGAAGAATGTTAGTAATAAAAATCAAAAAATGAACTATTTTTAATCTTTACTAATACTAGATGCATAATTATCTACAGCATATCATAACATAATAATTTATTTTAAAATTCTTTTATATACTTTTGATTTTAAATTGTTAATTCTTATTAAAAATAGAAATTTTAATAAATTAAAATTTTTTATTGTATTTCGTATTATGTAAATGAAAAAAAATCTTTTTGTATATATTATATAGTATTTATACATATTACACAATTCACATAGAATAAACTTAAATTCATTATAGAACTAATAAATGTATTAGAAAATAAAATAAATATGATGATAAAATTGATTTAATAAAAAAACATTTAAATTGATAAAATATAAAATATTTAAAATGAAAATAAAAAATTATTTATACGGGGTAAAGAACCATATAAAGACACCCCTGAACGTTAGGTTAAGATGGCGGATTACAAGGAATAGATAACTGGCCAGTAATAATTCTAAAATAAATAATACTTTTAAGAATGCATAGATTACTGAGCCATTTATATTCGCGAAAATGATATTTTTCCTACGATATTTCATACAAATAGTTCATAGATTCGCATCATTTACAGAACTAGCGTGAAAATGTGGGTACAACAAGGGATTTGGCCGCCGTAAACACGCTTCTGATCGAGTGCTACAATTTTCGTTAATTTTATCACGGCGGCAAGCACTCCTCTTTAGTAAATTGTAAATAATTGTAAATTAAGCACCAGGCAACGAAGCACCAGCACGAAAGGATGCTTTACTTGGAAGATTATGTTGAAAGTACGTAAAAACGAGGCATGCTCTGCTTACCCAGCTTCTCAAGAAAGTTACTAACCTTTCCGAATATACTCTCTCACACAAACATCAGAAACATTTCTCAAAGCGAATATCTTAGTTAATATTATATTATCACATATAATTATTTAAATGCTACCTTTTATTTTAGTGCCAAATTAAATACCGCGTAATATGAACAATTACTTGACATACTGTTCTTCATAAATTTTAGGTTAGTTGTATGTTTTCTAAATAGTCTATAATTTCTTTGCTCTTACCAATATATTTTGGAGTTAAGTTGTAATTTGTAATATTTTTTATGACTTTAATGTTAACATTATAATGATTAGATTAAATAGATAAATATTATTTATTCTTCTATATTTGATTCTTTTAATTCTGAGTTTGTTTGGTTATGTTGACCTTCTTCTTTTGCGTTTCAGTGATCGAGCACCTTCCTCAAGAATTAAGAGACCGGTTCACAGAAATGAGAGAAATGGACTTAGGTGTACAGAGTATGTATTTAATTATATAGTACTCTAAATTTATATTTAAATTTTATATCTATGAATTTAATCTACTTTTATTTAAAATATATTTATGTTTTTTGTGAATTATGTTAATAAATGAATAATGAATTATAATTATTGCAGATTCAATGGACAGTTTAGAAAAAAAAGTAAAGATTTTTTTCGCAAATGCAAAGAAAATGAAACCTAGTGAAAAGGAAGCAGAATATGAAGCTATTAGAAGAGAATATTATAAAACTCTGGAAGATGCAGATGAAAAGGTGCATTTAGCCAATCAGATGTATGACTTAGTAGATAGATATTTGAGGAGATTAGACCAGGAACTGCACAAATTTAAAATGGAATTAGAAGCAGATAATAAAGGTATCACAGAAATATTGGAGAAAAGATCACTGGAATTAGATCAACCACCTACAAATAGTAGTCAAAAAGAGAATCGATATAGCTTTACAACATCCAGTAGGTCACGAGACAATCATAGTCATTGTACGTATTCCTTCTAATTATATATTTTATTTAATATAACAGATAACTTATATTTATATAAATCATTAGCTCGAGCAGAAAAAAGAAGAGATTCAAATGCATCTTCTACATCAATAGAAAAACGCTTAGCTATAGAAAAAATTTCACCAAGTCTTCCTGAATCGCGACCAGCTTCTGTAAATTCAGGACCAATTATTGCGGCTACTAGCGTGCCATCTACCCCTACAGCAATCGCGAATTCTGTTGGTTCAGTGAGTTATAATCTCGGTCATATAGGAGCTGGTGGAAATGCCATAGCAGCTGCAGCATCGCAAGCAATTGCTGCGACGCAACAAATGCAACATGGCAGACGTACTGCTAGTTTAAAAGCTAGTTACGAAGCCATCAATACTGGAGGTATACATGCAGCCGAATTTAGTAGAGAATTAGCTGGTGCTGCCATTGCAGCTATACAAGAAACAAATAAAAAACATAAAAAGTATGTATTAAAAGATTTCTAAAATATTTATGAAAAATTTTGCTTTCAGTTTCTAAACAAATGTTATTTCACATTTTAGAAAAGTAACAACTGCTGTACCAAGTTCAAGTGTAGTTGCTGCTTCAGTTCAACAACCAGTATCACCTCCAGTTATAACTACAAATACACAAGTCGTAGATTCTGATAATCCAGATTGGACTTATGATCCAAATGAACCAAGATATTGTATATGTAATCAAGTATCTTATGGAGATATGGTTGCCTGTGACAACTCAGACGTAAATTTCTCTTTCTTATTATATTTCTGTATCAATGTATAAATGAAAATATTTATATTTAATAATTAATTTTTCTTTTGTTATTAACTTTATTATAGTGTCCTTTTGAATGGTTTCACTATCCATGTGTGGGTATCACTGCACCTCCAAAAGGAAAGTGGTACTGTCCTCAATGTACATCTTCTATGAAGAGACGCGGAGGTCGAAAAAACTGATTGTGCTATAATCAGTGCAAATATAATGAGAAAAAATTGATACTACCTCTTAGGCATTGTCCGTCAAGTACCAACTTAGTTAGGAAGCTATTAATTCTGATTTTATATGACTTTTTAAATATGTTTAAAGTTTAAGTCATGATCTTATCTGGTCTTAATCTTGTCCCACAAAACTTAAATTTCTGTTTTTACAGCAGAAAAGAGCAGTTTTTTTTACTGCGTTTTGTAGACATAATGAAAGGATCAAATGGTGTAAAAAGTTGGCTTTAAACAAATTCTGTTACATAAAAAAGATTTTGACATACAAATATTGCAATTATTTTTTAATACTTTTTGCACCATTCTATACCGTGACCACTAGATAGTTTACAAATTTACATTGAAAAATGATCTTTTCTTCTGGTAAAATACAATACGATCCATTGACTGAAATACCAGAGGTGATTTTCATTGTGAATTTTTCGAAATTTATGTTTTTAGTTCACGCAATATCGAGCAATTTTCGTATATTTACGTCCTCGTGTTAGTTCAGACGTGCTTAGTATCTCGCTGGATTGACGACTATGCGAGCAATAACATTTTAAGTGTTCTATGCTTTAAGAAAAAAACAAAACAAACGAAAGATAGAGAGAAAAGCGATAATAAATTGTGAGAATACTACTTTCGAAATGAAGGAATGTAGCAACTTGATGTATAAATAAATTGAACAATGCAGATTTATTATTTGTGTTATTGACGTTCATAAATGAAAAATAAAAAAATAATGACAGCTTCTATTTGTTACCAATGAATTACGTTAAATTCAAATGTTATTTTTTTGTTTTAAAAGAAATGGAATCCTATTTTACGTAAAGAATGTCACAAAATCCCATAAAAAAATATAATGTGATCGTAAAAACTAAAAATATTTTGATTATTAAATAAATATATTGTTAAATGGTAATATGTAAAATATCGTTACAGCATCAATTGTATCCTCGATTGATAATTTACGATCATATTATCTCTGGATGAATTATACTATGTTAGAATATTTAATTTTTAAAACAATTTAAATATTTTATTATTTTTAGATCACTTTCAATGTTAAAATGATCTGATTAATTATAAACTTATCAAAATATCCTACTCTTTAAAAAAAATATCATATTAATGCAATTTCATTTTCATAATTTTATATTTAAAAATAGAAAATATATTTGTTGCTGAAATTATAACAAAAAAGAACAAACTAAAGGGAAAAACCAGTATAATTATAATGTTGATTCAGTGATTCATAATGATACTACCAGGAACCTATAATTATTGACCTTCTTCACTTCAGAGCACGTCTGACCTTGCTTCTTGTTCCACTTTGAACATTTTACTATTTAAATGAATAATATTGCGACACGCTTTTTATACATAAATAAAGACATAATTATGATCGGAAGTAATTTACACTAAATTACTTGGCAATACATTCTATACTGTTTTATTATCATGGAAAGGATTATTGCTTCTTTGTTTATAAAAGGTCGCATATTATTTTCGTTCCGAAAGAATGTACGAGTTAATGCGCTTCTCTAAAATATGCTGCAGGATATTCTCATTATATATAAGGAAAACTTATTGAGTGAAAATTTTATTCTTCCAAGTGCTTTGAGTTAGAATATAAAAAATTATTTTTGATATTCGACCATGTTTCATATATTATGCACGGTTTTGTTTGTGGGTATTTTGAGAAATTGTATTCTGGCACAAGATACGATTACTTTTAACAGTACAACTACAACTATGTCGTCAAGTATGCAGAGAATTTAAAAAAAATTAACAAATTGAAATTGTTTTTTGTTATGTAAAATCATTTAAATGATTGAATATTGAACATTTTTTTTAAATCTCAATTTTTCTAAATTATTAGAATTAAATTATATTATATTATTATTCTAAAAATTTTTAAGATAAATTTTAAATTTGTTTTAATTTTAATTTTGAAATCTATTATAAAATAAAAAGAATTTATATTTTTAGTTAAATACCTTTCAAAATAGAATTTATTTTTTATTATAAAAATTATTATTTGATATAATATCTTAATGGAGTTGATTTATCATTTTATTATAGATATATTATATATATATAAAAAATATAAAATTAAATATTTTATCATAAATTTTTTCATCTTATATTTAAGGTCAAAATATAACATCGTGTTGCGTTTTAAAGAATAACTGTCCATCTATCAATCCAGGAATCGATTTTCGAATTGTTAATACGGTAAATTATTTATTATTTAGTATAAGTTATTTATTTAACATTTTGTGATATTTAAATAAATTTTTAGATAAATCGAAAGTTATGAATATTTAAAAAAATATTTTCAATTGTTTAAGGCTTCTAATTGTTCTGAAGGGCAAGTATATTGTTGTTCATCTAACTCACAAAACTTATTTGACACTACTTGCGGTATCAGAAAAATCTCGCCATCTTCACATCCTCAAGGTCAAGCCAGTTACGGTGCATATCCTTGGCAAGTTGCACTTTTAACAACTAACAATAATTATATTGGTTCTGGTGTACTTATTACATCAAATCATGTGTTAACTGTAGCTCACAAGGTAACATCTTATATGTAAGTAATTTAAATTTTTATTTTATTTGAATTTTATAAATTATTTTTATATATTTTTATATCTTATTTAATAAGTAGAATATAACATTTTAATCAAAAATATTTGTTTATAGAAATGGTGGACTTAAAGTAAGATTAGGAGAATGGGATGGCCAATCTACTAATGAACCTTATCCATATCAAGATTATTCAATTAAAAAAATATCTATACATCCTGAATTTAATTCCCTTAATCTTCAAAATGATGTAGCAGTAATAACTTTGAATAATACTGTTCCGATTTCAAGCAGTCCTAATATTAACACTGCATGTTTTCCTACAGCAATACCTGCAGCTAATACAAAGTATATAAAAAATCATTTAATATTAATTTTTATTTAATTATTTATTTAATATAAATATAATATAATTATAATATAATATAATATAATTTTATTTAATATAAATTCATATTTCTTTTTTAAGATGTTGGGTGTCAGGCTGGGGAAAGAATGCATTTGGAACAAATGGCAAGTACCAAAGTATAATGAAAGAAGTAGAAGTACCTATTGTTGATCAATCAATTTGTGAAAATGATTTACGGAAAACTAGACTTGGACAATACTTTACACTAAATAAAAGTAGTTTTATATGTGCAGGAGGGGAGCAAGGAAAAGATGCATGCACAGTAAGTGATTAAACTATTAAAACTTAATTTTAACAAATATTTCAAATATATTATATAATTTATATTATTAAATAAATATTATTTTAAAATTTATTATTTTAATTTCTTGAAAATAATATTTTTTAATCAAAATTTTTCTAGGGTGATGGAGGTTCACCATTAGTATGTCAAAATGGAAATGGACAATGGCAAGTGGTTGGAATGGTTACATGGGGTATTGGTTGTGCAACTAGTAATGTTCCTGGTGTATATATAAATGTATATAATTATATTTCATGGATTAAACAACAAATAAATTAAAGTAAATAACTATATATTATATAATATATATTTTTAGTTATATATTAAAGTAAATAACTATATAATAATTATATATAAATAACTATATTATATACATAATAAATTTGATTAATATTCAGTAATTTATTTAAAATATTGAATAATATATATAATGCATAATATATATAATACAATTAATAAAAATAATATATATAATACAATTATGTTTTATGAATCCGTGGATATATTTCCTCCTCACCGATTTTGATGACTTAGAAATATATTGTAAACATCATCTTGAGTAACTTTTTCTTCGACACATAATCGATGATTAGCTTTTAATTTTCGAATTATTCACAAAACCTTTGATACTATATTATTAAAATATTATTATTATATTATTATTATAACTATTATATGTGTATCTGTGATTGTGTATCCTTCAGTAATAATAATAAAAATTCATAATAAAAAAAAAATTAAATAAAAGATGACAAGTTTTAAATCATTTTTTACTGAATTTATTAGGTTAGATTTAGCTGAATTATTTAGGTTAGATTATATAAGCAAGGTTAGATTATATAGCAACTTTATCAGAATAATCAAAATCAAAACAAAAATAATTTATTCATCTAATTGAATTTAGAAATTGAAGATATAATTTTTTGCTTATAGTTTATAGAAGAATATGTATAATGCGATGAGAAGTTGAATATTGACGACACATGCTGTCATGGATGCACATATATAACCAGAATTCAATGATACAGTATGGCGAATCTTTTTATATGTACGTGCAAAAAATTTATTAATATTTATTGAATTGTTAACATATCGGATAATTTTTAATAAGTTAGTTTCTTTTATAAAAATAAAATCAAATTTTAGTTAAATATATTATAATAATTAAAAAAATATGAATAATTTATAAACGTATATTGCTAAAATAATATCGCTAAAAATGATTCACATGCCAGCAAAATTTTCGTACGTATCATCTCTAAACACATACCATAAATTCGCCATACTCAATATTTTGATTATCAAAAGTTTTTCGTAAATAATTCGAAATTTTAAAATTAAAATTATATATAAAAAAAAAAATTGCTCAAAATGTCTTTAACAACATATTTCAAGTTTAAGATCGATGAGAAAAGATCGTATCAATAAATTGATCATATCATATATTTATATTTATAAGATTTAGAAAGATTTTTATTTTTTTAATATTTCATAATACATTTATATAAATATACTAATTTAAGTACATATATGCATATTTGTATGAATTATTAAATATATTATTATTTATTGATTCATTTCTTTGAGAAAATAATAATATATTATTTAAAAATGAAATATAACATAATTAAGATAAATTTTTTTTGCAAAAATTTTTTTTTTATATTTTGATTTTACTTTCCTAATAAAAATAACATTATAAAAATATATATTTCATTTTTATATATGCATTTAGAATATATGTGATGATACATCTATTTTATTTGTTATGCATATATCATATGGTATAACTATTAAATATATTATTTTCAAAATTTCGAAACTGATTATTTGAAATATATCAAGATATATTTTATCTAATTAGATAAATTTCACATGAAAAATAAGCTTAATATGTATTTTATAAATAAAACATTTCAATTTTTGAAATAGTTATTACTTTTATTGATGAATTTATTAAAAATCAAAGTAAAATCGAAGTATTAACAATAACAAAAAAATAACGGATAAACTTAAGTAAATTCTAAATAAAGGTCAATTCATGAAAACCGTAAAGTGCATTCTACGTAAATACGTAAATTATAGATAGAGAATAGAGGGCTTATCATATTTGACATTTGTGGGAGGAAAAGTACTGATTGTTTACAATTTTCTAAAAATTTGGCAATCCGGAGAAATACGTAAATGATAATGGATGCCAACGTAGATGATGACGGAACACATAGCGAATTAGGTATGTTTTTTATATAGTTTATATTTAAACGTATTTAATTTTCCTTAATAAATTACAGGTTATGTGTCGAGTTTTTCACATATTGTTCTAAAACGAGGAAAATTATTCTTGTCAATTATTTATAAAATGTAAATTATATTTTTAAAATGTTAATAATTTTAAATATATGTTATTTTCGTATAATAACTTTAATGTCATTGTATAATATTGTATTATCTCTATAAATCTTTAGATTTTTTTGTTGATGATAAACATAAAAATATTTTTATTATAAAGGAATAAATCAAAAGAATAAAACATTTATTTTATAGAAAATCCAGAAAACAGACAAAGTAATGATGAGGATTATTCAGAAGAAAATACAGATGAAACATCTATATCTACTGAAAGTACTTTTGATTTGACTCTACCAACAACACATTCTGTAAGTTTTCAATACATATTTATATATTTATTACAATTATGTATTATTTATAATAAATAATTTTAATAATTATTTTTTAATTTTAGAAAAATTTTATTTGAATTGTATTTGAAATCTTAACATTATTGATAATAAATTTTTATATATATATATTTTTATATATTAAATTTTTTTTTAAATTAAAAATTTTTATAGAATTGAATTTATTTAATAATATTTGATCATTTTAATAATATATAAATATATTACTAGTATTTAGGACATAATTTGGAAGAACTTAGAGGAAGGACAATATTAGATGATGGACTTTACGTAAATTTGCCATTGTTAGTAAAGCAATCTGTTATGTTATTTCCTGGACAAACATTACCAATGACAGTATTTGATGCACAAACCATTGATATGATAAGAACATGCATTGAAAATGATCGGACATTAGGTGTTGTTTGTTTGGGATATGATAAAATGGTACCAATAGGTACAACTGCAGAAATTTATGAATGCATGTATGATCCTGATCAAGGTTTTCGTTTAAAAGCTAAAGGTAGACAAAGATTTAAGATTTTGCGAGTTATAATTCAGGTAAGTTTTAAAATATATAATAATTTAAAATATAATATTGCAAAATATGTAATGTAAAAATTAAATATTAAGAATAATAATAAATTAATAAAATTACAAATATAAGAAATAGGAATCTTGCTTTAATAAAACAATATTTTTTTAAATAGACTTTTTTTATCTTTATATAATCATTTCATTCTTATATATTTGAATATAGTGTTATGCATTGTGATAATTTATTTATGTGTGTATTTATATGTATTTTATGTATTTATATGTATTATATGTATTTATATGTATTTTATGAAATTAAGATATAATATTATATATAGTTATATAAATAATATAATTATATATATATAAATAATATAAGATATAATATTATTTATAGTTATGATTATATATATAATAAATAACATTATAATTATATTTAATTATTATTCAAATATTTAATTCTAGGGATATGATAAAATATCAGCTCACGTACAAGTTTTACCAGAAATAACTCTTGGACCACCATTTTTGGATGAACGTTTAGCATCATTAGATCATTTACGAATACAACCGAAAAGTGAGGAAGATTTTAAAAAACAAGAAAGAGTAGAAAATTTAGATGCTATAGTAACTCCTTGGCCTGCTTGGGTATATCGGCAATATGATCCCTTAAGACTTTCATTAAAAATACGACAACGTTTACAATTTATTGAGAGTAGTATGTATTTTTTCTAGTATTTTAATTAATTTTTATATTATATTTATATTTATATTTAATATAATAAAATTTCATAATTTTTTAATGATATATTATTTTAATTTAAAATTATTTAATATATTTTAGAAGGAAGTAATATACCTGAAGATCCTGCAGATTTATCATTTTGGGTTGCCCAAAATTTGTTATTAGATGATAATGAAAGAATCGTTTTATTAAATTACGATTGTGCAATTTCAAGGTTACAAAGAGAAATAAAATATTTAGTAGAAGTATGTATAATGAACATCTATTAAAGCTTTATAAATATTTTTACAATTTTAGAAGTAATAAATAATATATATATAATATTATTAATAATAAATAATATTATTATTTTATAGGACAAAATATTTGTTTGTTCTAACTGCGATTCTTACATTGGAAGGCAATCACATATGTTTCCAATGAGTAAAGAAGGTCCACAAGGTACTTATTGTAATCCTTCTGGAATTATACATGAAACTGTAACTTTATATCATGCACAAGGCCTTGCGCTGAGTGATAATCCATCAATAAATTATACATGGTTCCCAGGGTAAGAATTATTTTTTTCATATATTTTTTAAATTAATATTTAAATTTTAATTTAATTCATTTTTATAGATATGCTTGGACTGTCGCAACATGTAAAGATTGTGATAATCATATGGGATGGAAGTTTACAGCAGTTCAGAATAATTTAAAACCTAAAGCATTTTGGGGTTTGTTACGTAAAAGTTTGAAAAGCAAAGAGAAGTGAGCAAACCAAAATTTAAATATATTATACCGAGAAATTCGGTGATTAGTTTGGAAAACCCAGTGCATATTTCCCATAGTTTTTTAGTATTATATGACTATGTGCAATTGTTTGTACTGCTTAGTTTTTGTGAGCTATCAATAACAATAATGTTAATTTTTCTAATATAAAAAAAGACTACAAAACATACCAAAATCAGAATAATAAAAAAGTTATTTACTGTAAACATTGAATCGACTGAAATATGGTATATGTAAATTTCGATATTTAAGAGTATATAGAAATTAATTTTAAAGCTCCATGTGAAACAAAGATTGGTATAAAAATGTTTTAATATATATACAATCTTATTTCACATCTACGTTAAACTTTAGAATTTGTAAATTGAATTAAATGATTCGATCATATTAAAAAGATACATCAATTGTTATTTTTGCAAAAGCAGTTTATTCTGCTCAGTATGTTTTTTATGAGTATCTAGATAATATACAATTCATAACTTAAATTTTTTATGTAACTAGTCATTATGGGACATGTACATCTATCTTTAATATCAGTATAGTAATATAATAAGAATTTGTCAACGTACCTTGCTAAGAAATTCATAAATCAGAAGTTGCTGATGTTTAATAGTAATTAGATACAAATTTTTTATGAATTGTTTTCATTTAATATGATGATAGTGATAAAAATCGAAAAGAATGAAATAATATTGGTTTTTCTTATTAATGTATAATATTCACATGTTTTCCTTTTTATATCATTATTTGGAAAATGCATGTACAGTTCTAAAATGAGTTTAACATCATGTCATCATTATTATACTGAACTTCAATAATTATATACAAGTTATAAACAAAGATATAATACATGTTATTGGAATATGATATTTTGTTATTTGTACATCAGAATTTAATAAATGTGAATTTAACGTGAAACATTTAATTATTTACATTTAAATTTTATGATTTATTATTATTTTAAAAAAAATATTTTAAATATATTTAAAAAAATTATTTATTGTATTTTAAAAATAAATAGACATATGTTGTAATAATAACAAAAATTTTATATAAATACGGAAAAAAAAAATTAAAGGTGAGTATATATAGGAAAGTAAAAAATTAATAAAAATGAATTTTTAAAGGAAAACGGCAGGTATGAATTAAAATGCTTTTCTTCAATAATTTCTTGCGCATGTCGTATATTTCTCGATTACCTTAATTCAATTAAATTTGTTATAATTATATCTTTATCTCAATCATTCTCTTGTATATGTATCATGTTTTCTTTAATCATTTTGAATTAGCAGATATGTTTAACAATCTGCCACAAAAATTTAATCATTCGACGATAACACTTTGTATTATAGTACTATCATTCAGATATATTTTGTTATATATCGTAATCGTTTCGTACGTATTCGAAATTCGGATACGTTGACTTATTTATATTCATCATTTCGACAGTTGCTCGTCGTTTCCTGAATCCTATGTATGTGCCTGAATACTATCGATTCTTCTGATTTCAATTCCTAAATCAATTTAATTGATTTAAAAATGCTGTTGGATGATTATACAAATGCGACGAAGTATATACTATAAATTATATATTTGTCTGGCATAAACTTTGATGATTCTAAAGAACATTAAAGAATTTTTTACATTTAATTTTTTTTTAAAGCACCATAATATCATAGTTCGTTTTTTGTATATTTTTTATAATTTATTTTTACATTTTGTATATTCGATATTTTATATTAATAAAACAAATAACTCTTAACTTTCTTGTATTTTTAAATTAAATAAGCATAAAAGAATATTTGCAAAATACTTGTCAGACTGATTAATGTTGATATTATACGATAATATTTATTAATTCAATGATAAAATTAAAAGATCATAAATTACATATTAATTATAATTGTGAATTTCAAGATGATAATCATGACTCAAATTTCAGGAACTAATTATTTTTAACTATGATTTTAAATTATAAATTCTTTTTGAAAAAAAGAAAAAAAAACAACAATTGATTTTCTTATGATTTTTTACATTTTAGTTTTTTTTATTAGCATATATCTATCTGCGCATTTTCACAATAATAATACATATTTATAATACATATATAACAGAAATCTTTTGTCTAGAACAGACAAATAGTAATATTCTGTTAAAAAATTTGTTCTAATGTTGCCAGTACATAAGCACTTTATAGTATAAATGTAATACGCCACTATATTTTAAATAAAAACACGCTTTAAGTGTCAATTGATTTTTCTTTTGTAACATAATTTCCTATTTGAAATTTAAAAAAAAAAATTATAAGTACAAAAGAAAATAATTGTTTACGAATTTTTGTCATGTTAAATTTTTACTCGCGATATATATCATTTTGAAAATGTTATTTACACAAAAAAGCTTTCTTATGTTCGTTCGAATATAGTTTACTTGGGGGATCCGAGTAATATATACACAAAAATTTTAGTTTAGTATAATTATCATTGTAAGTTTCTTATTTAATGTGTTAATTATTAAATCATGATCATTGCCTTTGACACCTGTATCATCTCGATCTACATAAACTTAATCATAGTAAAATTGCCAGACTTGTAAATAGTTCAAATTTACTATAGGTTAAATATGAGAATATTATTGAGAACATATATAGGAGTATATTCGTCGCATATATTCGAAAGTATCCATTAAATTATATTCAGTATTTTTTGCAATACTCATTTTCAACGATAAATACTCATCTAATGAGAATAAAGTATCGGAATAAAATTAAATGAAAGATATAGACACGGGTCAGGAAAACGTACGTAACAGACTGTCGGTTTTTTGGGTCATTGTTGACTTTCATCTTGTCTCACATGGATGTTTTATCTGCCACTTGTATACTTCGCGTATTCATACTTATTTATAGATCTGTAATATATATATATCTTATTATTATATTTAACAAAAATATAAAATTCGAATATTGCTAAAAATCTTACTTTCGATTTCTGATCCTGCAGAGATAAGTTTAGTGTGCGGCTGTGCAGTTGTGCTTGGTTGTTGATTACTTAATTGTCCTGTAGTTGCTGGTGCAGCAAAACCTGGTGGTGGTTGCATTGCCCAATGTTGAGTTGGTGCGTTCTGTTGTTCCTTATAAAATAAAAAGAATAATATTCTGTTATTCAGATAAAATATTTTGATACTTATATTTAATAAACTCACAATTTCTTATTTTAATCAAAATAAATTAATAAAAATAAATAAAATAAATATAATATAATACAATAAAATAAAATACAATATAATATAATATAATACAAATAGAATACAATAAAAAATATACTATGCATATACACAATAAAATATATTTGAATATATTTATTTAATAAAATATATTTTCGTAAAATATTTGAAAATATATCTATAATAATCAATACCTGTTGCGCATTATGTGATACAGTATGTGTAGGATGAACATGTGGAAATTGCCATGTACTAGTAGTTTGGAATGGAAGAGGCCTAGAAGAACTAACAATAGCTGGATCAATCGAAGTCCAATCTGCAATAGGTCCAAAATTGTTCCATCCACCTTTTTGATGTAATGCTTGATGATGAAATTGTTGTTGTTGTTGTTGATTATTAATATCACACCAATCTTTAAGCGTATATACTGCATCTCCCGCACATTTACTAATACCTATTTTAAATATTAATGAAATTTCTAATATTAGTCATAAAAATAATATAAATTATTCAATCATTAGTGATTATTCTTAATAAATTTAATTACAATATTAAAAAGTACCTTGTGAATTCAAAAGGGGGTTTCCATTTGGAAGATAGGCATTTTGTTGTGGTGGTTGTGCTCCTGTAAACAGCACACTAGACGAATGACTCATGTATAATATTATATAGATTTTTTTACAAAGTCACAAGAATTCACTTTTATACTTGGATAACACTTTGCTCACCACAAATACATATTTATTGACACTAACTTACTATTTCCAATTTATATATATATAAAATTCACCTTTATTTTCTAAAGAGTCAAAAGACTTTGTCAATATTCAACAAATGAATAAAGTAAACATAAAATATGTTTATGATTACTATAAATTATTGTCAAAATTACGAAAATACTAACCCGAAAGAGCATTGTTCGTGGGAGCTGGTCGCGGTATGCCAAGACCAAAAGAATTCATGTGATTTGGTGTAGAACCAGGGAAACCTGGTGGTGGAAGGCGACTACGTTGTCCCAAGCTAGCAGCAGCCACAGTACTCTGAGGGGGAGTTTGCGTACCACTTTGTAATAAATTTTGTGGAAGACGAGACAGCAAGGAATGCGACTGTTGAATAACTTGTAAATTTTGTAGATGTTGAGCCTGTTGTTGTAAATGTGCTATATGGGCAACCTAAATAATAATTATAAAAAATATATAATATAAAAATGAAAATAATAAAATAGTTAATAATTTTTAATCATTAAATTATTAAATTTCTTATAATTCATAATTTTTTACAATAAATTACCTGTGGAAAATGTTGTTGACCAAGATTTGCAATATTCTGTTGATGTTGTACCCTATTTTGTTCTTCTCTTTCTCTTTGTTGTTGTTGTTGAAACAACCTCTGTTGTTGAATTTGCATTTCGTTTTCCATAAGTTCTGCCAAAGCTTTCTGTGTTTCATGAAAAGGATCAAAACCTAAATCATCATCTGCCTTTAAATCTGAACCAGATTCTTTATGATTTCGAACTTCTTCCAAAGTAGCATGACCATTTTGTTTTATATATTCACAATTCTCTTGATTTTGTTGTGCCTAAAAAAATTATAGTTATTTATTATTAATATATTATTATATTTTATGTTAGTTATAATTTAAAATATTATATTATATTAATTTATTAATATTATATTCTTATTATTTATATTTTATACAATTTTATATATTATATGAATGTTATAGATAGATATTATGATAATTCAATATCTTAATAAATAATTATCTATGAATTACTTACCTGCATAGCAAGCCTTTGTTGTAATGAGTTTTGTTGAAAATCTGCCATGAATTTAGATGCAGGAGAATTAACAAGCAAACTTGATGTAAAAGTACCAGAAGGTTCTGATAAAGAAGTATATTGTAGATTAGTATAAACTTCTTCATCAACAAAACCTTCTGAATTGAATGTTACTCCTGGTGAACTAGAAGGACTGGATTTTTGTATAACATGATTTGTTTGTGTAGTTTCAGGTTGAAAACCAAAAGCTGTTTGCCAATCTTCACTAGACTGAACCATTCTTAATGAATCAGGAATAGAAGTTAAGCCTGTACTTGTCCAATTCAGATTTGGATTTGCTATATATTAAAAAAAAATTAATTGTAATTTTCTTCTTATAATACTTAATTTTAACTATTAATATTATTATAATTATTATAATTAATATTAACATAACATATATAGAATTTAATTTCAATTTCTATAATTCAAGTTCACTTAAAAATAATAATAAAATAATAAATAATAATAAAAAATAATAATAAATTCACAATATTAAAAAAATTACATATACTTGCCTGTTAAAGAAGTAGGTGGCACTGTGGTAGTAGAAATTTTTTGAAAAGTATTTGAACTGAAGAAACTATTATTGTCCGTCTGAAAGATTGATCGATGATTGAATTGTATTTGAGACCCATTATGCAGTCCTGGTGGTGGTTGTTGATTGGCACCTTGTGATGAGTTTGTGCTAGCTGGAGAGGAACCTAAAGATGATATGCACAAATCTCTACACTACAAGATGCGATCAAATCATAATGGTGAAAATGCCAGAATAAACAGCTTTTAATACTATTCCTCTCTGCCACCATTAATGAATCTCAAAAATATATAAATATATGTCTAGAAAATTTTTTTATATTTAAATATATGATGAAAAATTATAAAAAATAGAAAAAAATTAATAATGTATATAAAATAGAGTTTATTAAAATTTATTATATATAAAAACAAAAATAATAAATAATTTTCTAGACATTTAGTATATACATGCTCAAATGATGCAACTTGTAAGAAGGATAAAGTCAAGTGTGTACAAAAACACAAAAAACAGTTACTATTTTTTTTCAAAGAATTCTCTTTATTTTGGCATATATCTATAACTATTTAAATTCTATTCTACAGTTATGAGACAGCCATAATACTTGCATGTCATTAATATATTATACATTGCTCAAGAGATATCATTTCATATGTATGTATAACGTACAATGTTACAAGAGATAGGCACACATTTAGAATGATTTGTAATTTATTACAAATACTCTGCATGACATATTATAATATTAATTTAAATGATTTAAATATTGCACTCCTATATATAGCCTCTTATGAATTTGTCATAAATCAAGATTATAAACTATTCTATATTTCTTTAAATTATGAAAATATAATTATGAAAATATAAATAAAAAAAAAAATATATATATATAAAAATCTATACATTTATATATAATAATAATGTATATATATAATATGTAATTAATATATTGCATGTAATAAATGTATATTAATGAATATTATTTTATCAATAAACATCATTTAAAATTGTTAAATTATTAAAATTATAAAATAAAAAATTTTAAATTTCATTATAAATTCTAATATATTTTATACAATAATAATAATAATAATAATAATAATAATAATAATAATAATAATAATAATAATAATTATAATTATAATAAAAACTTCTTTTCATTTTGTTTCTTTTATTTTTATATTATTTAACGAATATCATATATTGAATTTAAGTTTTGTATATTTATTTTAAAAGTAGAAAATCAATACATATAGAAATGATCACGAATATAAGAAACTCACCCAAAATAGCAGCACCACTGTTCTCCTCACTTGATTCTGCTAAATGTTCCACTTGATGATTCACGTTCGAATCTTCCGTACTTGAAATTGTACTAGCTGGTGTACTACCTTCACGTTGTTGATCTGTCTCGCTATCCGAATGTCGACGCTCTCCATTTTGCACTATTCCATTTACTTTAAGTTCTTGAGATTGTTGCTGTTGCTGTTGTTGAACTGATTTGGATCCTTTATTATTATTTTGTTGTTGTTGTTGTTGTTGTGATTGTTGTTGAGACGATGGCTGCTGCGGATGTTGCGGTTGTGATTGTTGTTGTTCCGACTTACACTTACTACCCAATTTTTGTAATACATCACTATTCGATTCGGAGGAAAAATTTCTAATATCCTTTTGTCCATTAATTTGTGATTGTACATTATTTTGCGTACCAATAGAACTAGATTCTGATCGAGAAGTTATCCGTGTACTATGTTTTTCTTTGTTCTGACAATTTTTATGTTTATTCCGCGCTGCCTGAGCTTTACTTTCACTATTACTTTTCCCTCTCCGTATATTCATATTTTCACCTTTATTATTATTGTTTTGTTGTTGCGTTGAACCACCAGATGATACATGACTTTGTTGATTTGTTGTACCACTTCCATTTGTGATGTTGTTTTGTTGTAATATTGCTTGTGATGGCGGTGATAATTCTTTACAATTTGTTTGTGAACCTATAAATATAAAAATAAACTAATTAATAGTCTATATACAATTTTATTATTTTTATTTATATATATCTCTATCTATAAAAACTTACTATTTGTCTGTCCAGTTTGCAACGATGGCCAAGCTTCTTTGGCTTGAGAATTTGAAGTTCCATTCTCTCTAACAATACTGCCTGTCACTGATGGTGATGGTATTGGTTTTCTGTACAATAATAATTATTTGAATTAATTATTTTCTTTAAAATATAATTAAATAATTGAAGATATATATTATATATAAATTACCGTTGTGCAGATGCATGTGATGCGTGTAACGATTGCACAAGTTTTCGTTCATATTCTTGATGTTTGCCTTGATGCATCTCTTCCTTCGTAAATGATGCCTCCTGGTCCCCAAGATCATGTAAATACATACAATCCGGTTTTGGACAAGGCTGATTACGCATAAAATGTGAACAATACTTTGTTGTTCCTAATGACGTTTTAATTGTTCGCCCGTCCATGACAACATTATTCACAGCCTCTATAGCACGTAGTGCATCCTCTTGACGCTAATAATGAATTTTGAAATATAATATATGTAAAAGTATTCAAATAATAAATAATTTATAAATAAATTAGTACAACTTACTTGATAAGTAACGTAAGCCGAAGCACTAGGACCTTGAGACCCTGCGTAGGAAGTGCTTTGATTTATTACAACTTTGTGAATTTTGCCAAATTTTCCAAAATATTCATGCCGTTTTAGTATCTAAAAATTTATTATTTATTATAATAATATATTTTCTTTGAAATATTTTATCTTATTCATATGCATTTCTACTTACATCAGCATCCGCAAGTCTCAAGGGTAATCCTACTACAAATACTAGATTTTTTTGTACTACTCTCACATTTGCTAGATGTTTACGATTTTCTGTAACCCTTTGCTTACGTTGCTGATCTTTTAATCTTTTTTCTGCTTTTAATCTAATAATATATAAATATATTATTAATATAAATATATAAATATTTAAATATATATATGTAATTAATATATATAAAAAATATTATACATATTATATATAAAATAAATATTATATACCTTGCTATTTCTTCCATACTAAGTGGTTTAAAATCGGCAGGATTTTCAGAATAGGCCTTCCGACAGGCAGGGCATAAACCATTTTCATCTGTACGAATTCTGTGCCAGCAAAATCGACATATTTGATATCCACAAGTGCATGGAAAGAAGTTCAAATCATCCACTTCCAGTGGTTCCATACACAAAGGACATTCCACTGCATCTTCCCCACTTTGATTCAATACTGACATTTTTGTTTCTAGTTTTATCACACAATATAGTAAATTACGAAGATTTTTTTATTTGTAAATCCTGTACACAAATGAGAAATGTTTTACACAAAATATCTAATATTCATATCTATATGCATGAAAAATATGTAACAGTAATTATTCAAATTTTTAATTACAATGATAATATTATTAATAAAATATGCAATAATATTAAAAATATACAGATTACGTATTTTAATATAGAAATAACACAATTATTATTGTAAATTCAGTATACATACGTGCAAAGTCTCCACAATGCCTTGGTACTATGTAATTGACTGTACTTGCAACTTCTTATACACTAATATCCTTGCACAATCTGAAACAAATAATTAGATATTAAAATATTGTACAGTAAAAATGATATGAGTCAGACGTGTCATTGAGTACTAGCAGCCGTTTTCGTGTAATTCCACGTCAATTCACAAAAGAGACATCGCAACGTCGTGACAAAATTTTTTAAATATTTCACCGTGGAAGTGTTAGGATTAACATATACCAGAAGAAATTGAAACAGAATATTTTCTCGCAGAAAATAGAATAAGAAACGGTGACTGTTTAGCTGACAGATTTAACGAACAGTTGGAAAGGAAGGTCCGTTTGACAGGAGCTGTCAGACGAACGGTAAACGAACAAATAACGCGTTGGATTTCAGACAATTAGAATAATCGTGTACGCCCTACGGTGGACGTAAAAATGACAAGTTTGTACGTGAGGTTGAGAACGACGACGAAAAACTTGCGGTAGGGCCACCGTCTGTACTCTCCCACTCACTTTCTCTCTCTCACTCACTCTTACGCTGAGACACGAACTATACGAGAGGGCGACGATCGGACGAAACAGCTGTTGGTGGCGTCGAGAGAAGCGAAGAAACGTCAGAGAGCGAGTGAGAGGTACTACGCCATAGCAGAAACCTACGTGAAAATCCGTGAAAAGTTGGAGTAGTGGGGCATGACACGTAAATTCCCCGGAGCTTCAAATACAACTATCCACATACGCAAGGACGATGGCTCGATGTTTCGCGATACGATTTTGAAGGGGGGAAAAGGCAAGCGAGAGAATGAGAAATGGAAGTAATGAAAGGAGTGGCGGAGGAAAGAGGGGGAAGAAAAGAGAGGAAGAGAAAGAGAAACAGAGAGGGCTAGGGACAAACTGAGAGAGAAAGAAATGAGCATATAAAAAGGAAGATAGCTAGAACAACGATGCCATCATTCGTTTTGTCCCTTTTTAGCCAATGGTCGTTGTCTTGATCTTGCGCGTAAAAGAAAAAGACTCTCACCAATCTTTCATATCTCCTACTTTTTGAAAAACGTAATCCCAATTCGAACAAAAACAAGTAAAGTTTCTAACTAGTTTATAGAACAAAAAACTTCAATAGCGCGATTAACATACATAACATAGTTCACGGTGAACGTCACAAAGGATTGAATGATTTGTCGTCAGAGGGGTTGCTAAATACCCTGGACTGGTTACAGGGTATACCTAGCTCGTTTAACCTTAACTTCGTACAATAAAGTAACTTTTCGACAGTCCTAGAGATTTGAAAACCGCGTGTCACTGTTTTTGTCAATTCTAGAATTATGTTCACGCATTCGTCAATCCAAATTTCTTGACTTTTGTTTACTTACGTTACAACTTTTCCACTAACAAATCTCTTTTCTGTACTGGGAAATTTTTGTACAGTCTTCTAGATCTGGTCGCATGCGCACCGCGACTGCGCAGAAGCGGACATTACATATATTGGTATTTAAAGAAAGGCGCATATGTAAAGCATCCTGAAAGCGCATGTCAACTAAACTTCGATTGTATTATTATACATGTGAAAATTTTTACTTTCAATTCTTTTTTAATTTCAATTGGATAGATTTATATTTATGCATAATATAATGTAACCATTTAATGAATATTTTTACAATGTTTGAAATCCTACTATAAATTTTTGTGATCACAGTTTATTCGATTTCATATTTACCGCGTACTCGGAAATAATCAGTGAATGATACGACAATGATACCAATAGTTGAGGACAAATGTTCCTAATATTGGGTAAAATAGGATACATTCTTATTGGATGGATTTTATACTTTCAATTATTTAAATGAATTTAGACATAAAATTCAAATTCTACATTTGTTGTTAATATGGGATACAATAATATTTTATCAATTTTTCATGATAATCTAAAATCAAATATTACGTTTTATTATAAAAACATAAAATTCTAATTTTACAGTTTTTTTTGTATTCAATTAATTTAAAATATACTTCATCGATATTTATTTTACTTTTAATTTAATTTCCTTATAAATAACGGATGTCAATCAATATTTATGAATAATGTAATATACAATTCACTAATAATATAAAATTTTCAAGTAATGCATATTATATAATATTGTATTTTCCTATTTTTTTTTTTTCGATTAATTACTTTATTGCACGTTTTTAACATTACCTTCATAACTTACACCAAATAATGGATGTCGAATTTTCAAATTTTTTGGAAATGGTACACTGCAGTTTTCTATTTGTATTGGTTTAGTTTTTGGAATACTTGAAAGTTTTCGTCTAACTGTAATTGTGCCTGTTGGCTTCAAATTAACTATATATAAAAAATATAAAATGTTAGAAAAATTGTTAATTATATTTTTCAAAAAAAAAAAAAATATATTACCAGTTTTATATTGTGATTTTACTTTGCCAGTATGAAGTACGCATGTAACATTACATTTAACTTCTTGATTCACTGCACAATATTTTTCATCATTAACCTTAAATTTAGATTTTTCTCCAAATATTAATGTTTGACCTTTAAGTTCTTTTGGATCTATCTAGAAGTTATATAATATATATATAATATTAATACATTTTTTTTCTATATTTGACTATTAACTTACTGTTGTAGGAATATCCATGATCCATATATCTTCATTATCAGATAAATCATCCAAGTTAAATGTAGAATCTGTAGTTTCTACAATTAAATTTTCTCCTTGTATTAAATCATTAATCTAAAATGGAATTAATAAAAATTTATTATATAAGTTAATTTAAACAAAGAATATATAGATCAAATTTTATTTACATTATGTGGTCTTATAGTAGGCGTTACATTTATAGATGATCCGCTATGATTTGTTTCATTTGAAGAATTATTATTGTCTATATTTTGTTCTAATTCATTTTTTACTATGATTCTTTTTTCAGTTTTTTTTAAAATACTTTTTCTAGATATAGGTGAAGTAATAGGTGGACTAGCAGGTTGAATTTTTGTATTGATCTTTATAGATTTTTTACTTTTTCGTTGAGATATTTCACTTTCTCCTGTATCCATTAGAACCATACTTTTATTCAATTGAGTATTTAATTTAGTTAACGAATCTTCCACATCTAAATCCATTATATTTAACACAATCATAAAATTTTATTTTATTTTTAGAATTAATATGTAAGTATGTAATAAAATTATTTATAGTTTTAAAATTCTTTAAACGTAATTCATTAAATTTAATATATAATTAATATACAATTTACATAATAATTAGATATATAATACTTCACTATGTAAAAAAATTAATATTTAACATTAAATTTTACACTATTTACATCAATGAAATGAAAAATGAAAATTATATTTTCACATAAAAATGTACAATATTCAAAATAAAATATATAATGTTATTTTTTAATATATATGTTGTTAAGTAATTCGAAATACGATAATAATATCACAACAAAACCAATTAATTTATAGGTTGGAATCTACTATCATATTCTTTACAATATTATGTGTAATATTCTTTTGCAATAGTTAAATACCTAATTATACTTAAGGATATTCTTCAATGTTAATAGTATGCGAAAATCAAATGCAGTTTACAATTAACACACATTTTATTCACAATTTATTCATTTGAAGTTGTGTAATTTATACAGCGAAATAAATTTTTTAAGATGAGTAATTAAGTTTATTAATAATAATTGAATCTTATGAAAATATTATTCGTTAATTAAAAAATTTTCATATAATTAGTGCAACAAATATAATATTTATTGTATTTAACTAAATCAACCAATTATCGTGCAGATTGAAACACTACTACATGTAATTGGTTGATAATCACGTGCCATATATTTTGGAGTAATCAAAAAAGGCGGTTCAGATTTACCAATAATATTAATAAGTTTTAGTTAAAAGTGCTTATTTTTTTAGATTGTTGTATTTTTTTAAATAGATATTAATATTTTATGCGTTAATTTTAAAATAATTATAAAACAAAATGTCTACTACTGAAAATTTACGACGATCTTCTCGAATAAAAGCTCGTGTTAAAGGTAATATAATAAAAATGAATAATCAAAATATGTTGTAATAATATTTAAATTTTTAATTATTTAAAATTTTAATAAATAATAAATATTTAAATATTTAAAAATTTTTAATAAATATTTAAATATTTAAAAATTTTTAAATATTTTATAATTAATATAATATAAATAATATTATTTAAAAAATTTGTTTATAATTTTCTTTATTATAGAAGAAAAATTAAAAAAAAATACATCATTTAGTTCTGATGAAGATATTAATGTAAATTCAATAAGTGCAATAGAAAATGAACTTAAGAATGTAGAAGAAAATATACAAAAGCCAGTTGGTAATTTTTTTTAATAATATATTTGATATTGTATTAATTTTTTTTTAATTAATTGTTTTATTATTTTATTTATAGAATTATTTTCAAATGATGATATTAGCGGAGAAGCATTATATAAATTTCAAACATCTAGTAAACGAAATGCCATGACACAAAAAGCACATTTATGTCGTACACCTATTAATATTAATACATTACCTACAGTTAAAATAGTTCTTGAAAGAATAGATTTAAATTATAAAAAACAATTAAAAACTTTTAAAAAATATCAAGAAGATTCAAAAGGTATAATAGTTTAAAATGTAATTTATTTATTAATTATTTATATATTATATTATATATTTATTTATATTTATATTTATATTATATAAATATAATATGTTAATTATATTTATTAATAAAATATCAATGATAATAATATAATATAATAATTTTAATTTTTTAATGTTTAGCTTCTGTTATCCCTCAAAAAAATAGATTTGAATTAACCTCAAGTGAAAGTGAAAGTATATCTGAACCTAGTGATTATATTCCTTCTGAAGATAGTGAAGATGAAACACATGATAGTGAGAATATAGAATCTAGCGATGATGAAAAAAATAGAGAAAAAATAAAATTTCAAAGACCAAAAATTATATTGCAATCAAATTTATTAAGTACACCAAAAAGAATAAGTAGGACAAATAAGCCTTCAATTATTCATAAGGATTTTGTAAGTAAAATATAGATATATATATAAATATAAATTGTATAGTTTATATAAAAATAATCAGTGTTATTTTTATATGTATTTATATAATCAAAGCATATGCAAACTGATGAATATTTTGTAACACAATCAGAAAAAATAATTACATCTGATCGAACATTAGAATATTTACGTAATTCTCGTTTGACAAAAGAAAAATTGGAACAATTATTAGCAAATCAAAATTATGTGTCTTCACAGCATAAAAAAAATATTTATTCATTAACTAAAAATTATACAACATTATTTCCAATGTGGTATTTTATTATGGAGTAAGTATTAAAATATATAAAAAAATTAAAATCTATGGATTTTTTAATAAATATAATAATATTGTTTTAGACAAGGTTATACTGTATTACTTTATGGTGTGGGTTCAAAAAGATGTTTAATTAATGATTTTCATAAAAATATATCTTATCACCCATCTCTAGTAATAAATGGCTTTTTTCCTAGTTTAACTACAAAAGATGTAAGTCTATAAATAAGATTAAAATATACAATATATTTAAATGATATAATAATTAATAATATGATATATATTTTTAGATACTGGATAGTATAATTACTGATCTATTGGAATTAAATTGTTCTGGTAATACAATTGAATGTATAGAACTTATTGAAAATGCTTTGGTGAAAAATCCACAAGATAGACTTTATTTATTAATACATAATATAGATGGTATAATGTTACGTTCTAATAAAGTTCAAGATTTATTGTCTTGTCTTGCAAGTATACCAAATATTAGAATTTTAGCATCAGTTGATCATATCAATGCTCCACTTTGTATGATCACTTTTTTAATAAATATCTGTTA